TTGGTGAGATTTTACTAAAACAAGCTTTTAAATCCAAATTGACTGAAGTGGTAAGTTTTCAGTGGTTTTGTTCATTTTTAAGCGAAAAATGTTTTCATTTTCTAAAAACGTTTTTTTGTTTTCTTACGTTTAAAATTTCGGTTCGATCTTTCTTTTAGTGAACTCATAATTAGAAAAATAATTAACAAACGCCTCTTTAACGTTCAGTTTGGGAAATTCAAATAATATACAGAAAAGTAAAAATTTTAATAAAAAATGAAAAAATCAGCAAAAGAAAAATAAAAAATTGCATTAAAGTTTAACTAAAATTACGAAAAAATAACAGAAAATAAAACAATAAGAAAATAACAAAAAGTAAAAGTAATAAACTAGAAATTCGGAAAATGTATGATTATCTTTTTGCGAAAATTGTTCACTGAAAGTGAAAAAAAATATATTAAATTACAATTGGCATTATTTACGTCTGTTTTGCTTGATTTTGAGCAATAAGTAACTCACTTATTTGGTGAGATTTTACTAAAACAAACTTTTAAATCCAAATTGACTTTGAAGTGGTAAGTTTTCAGTGGTTTTGTTCATTTTTTTCTCTAAATGGAAGCGAATTTAATTCTGATAATTTTTAAGACTTTTGTAAATTTTTTGGTATTGAACATTTCTGACACACCCTGTATAAATGGCCGAATTTTGTCACTGTCTTCACGGTCGATTACACTTGTTTCTTCCTTGGGTTAATAAATAGATCGTTTCCATTTGTTTTATTGTTTTCGGGAAAAATAAATGTCCAATTCGGAAAATTGCATGCATTGCACATGTTATTAATATCGCATTATTTTCGGTGTAATGAACGGTAATGCCTGGGGGAAGTCCTGATGAGAGTTTACAAACACATGGGCCACATTGCTAATGGACGTTGTCAGTTCGATTTTGAGAGTAATTTATCGAATTTTCTTTCGGTTTTTGATGTTAAAACGAGACAATTCGATTATAAAGTTCACGGATTGATTTAATGTAATTGGATTGGCTGTTATGCAACCAAAATTACAAAGAGGATTGACTTAATACAATTTTACTTTTATTACACGTTTGTTGATGTTTAGCCACAATTTTTGTTAAAAAAAAGCAAAAAAAAAACGTTATTGGGACGAATATGAGAGAAGTTGATTTTCTTAGGTTTTTGGAGGGTAAAAAAAACCGTAAATGAGTAAGAAAATAAATAAAAACAGATGTGTTGAAAAATAAACGTATTGTAAAAAATATATAATATTTTGTTGCAAAAATATGTTTTATTCAAACAGAAAAAAAATTGCTTTGCAAAAACAAAAGTGTGAAAATGTAAGAAAATTAAAGTAGAAAAAAAAACAAAAAAAACTCGACTAAGAAAGAAGCAAGATTGAAAAGCCAAATATACGACAAAAAACTCTAAAAGCGTCAATACGTATTTAAAAAAAGAAAAGTAACAAAGAAATGTGGAAAAAGAAAAAATACCTATTCAAAAAAAAAGAAAAACTAAGTATGAATTAAGTTTGACGTGAATATAAAAGACAGAATTTTTTATGTACTAAAGTAAAAAAAGTAAAAGTCATAATGAGAATGAAATAGAGAGAGAGAAGATTGACTAAGAAATTGTAAAAGAAAAAGAAACCAAAAAAATATTGGAACAGAAAAACAGTTGTGTTAAAAAATAAGCAAATTGTAAAAATATTTTCTAATTTTTTTAATTTTTTTTGCAGACAAACGAGACTATTCAATTATAAAGTTCACGGATTGATTTAATGTAATTGGATTATGTGTTATGCAACCAAAATTACAAAGAGGATTGACTTACAATTTTACTTTTATTACACGTTTATTGATGTTTAGTCACAATTTTTGTTAAAAAAAAGCAAAAAAAAACGTTATTGGGACGAATATGAGAGAAGTTGATTTTCCCAAGTTTTCGGAGGGTAAAAAAAAATAAAACCGTAAATGACTAAGAAGAAAATTTAAAAAAAGTCACAAAAAATGCTTTAAAATAAATAAAAACAGATGTGTTAAAAAATGTTGTTACAAAAATATGTTTTACTCAAACAGACAAAAAAATAATAAAAAGTCTGTACTCACAAACAATAATGATGGAAAAAATACACAAGAGAAATATTGCTTTGCAAAAATAAAAGTGTGAAAATGTAAGAAAATTAAAGTAGAAAAAAAAAAACAAAAAAACTCGACTAAGAAAGAAAGAAGCAAAATTGAAAACCCAAAAATACGACAAAAAACTCTAAAAGCGTCAATACATATTTAAAAAAAGAAAAGTAACAAAGAAATGTGGAAGAAGAAAAAATACCTATTCAAAAAAAAAAGAAAAACTAATTATGAATTAAGTTTGATGTGAATATAAAAGACAGAAAAAGAGAGAGAGAGGATTGACTAAGAAATTGAAAAAGAAAAAGAAGCCAAAAAAAACATTGGAACAGAAAAACAGATGTGTTAAAAATAAGCAAATTGTAAAAATATATTCTAATTTTTTATTTTTTTTTTGCAGTCAATAGGTCACTGGAATTGGTTCCAAGAATGTCAAATGTTTCCAATTCTTGAAACCAGTTTTTAAAAGTGTAAAGTACAATTTCCGTGAGCTCTTAATCACTTATCTTTGTTTTTATGACACTTATTCAAGTTCGTGTTTGGTTTTTCGCACTGGGAATCACATTTCTGACACTATAAAACAGCAACAAATGGACTTTTCATCAGTCACTCGTTGAGAAGATTTCAACAATTCAAAATGCAAAAAATCGTAATCATCGCCATGTTGGCACTTGCTTCAGCCGCCCCTAAAGATCCTCTACCAAAACCGGAGGATCGTCAAAGGTAAAAATCTCACTTTATTTCTGATCTCACTTTATATTTTAGAGAAACGAAATGGCACTTTGAGGACCCGGGAGTCCTCAATCTGCAACACCGTGAAAAAGTCTTCGAGAATGGCAACCACCGAGTTGATGCAACTGGAAAATTCGAGAAAAATTTCGTCAACAGAGATGCCCCAACTGTGCTTGGAGGAAGAGTAGATTATCAAAATAAGCCCAGTAATACTGCTTTGGGGGTAGAAGCACTCAATGCGGGCCGTTTTGGCACTCAAGTTGGGGTTGAAGCAACACGAAATCTTTTCAAAGACAGAAACAGTGCCTTGGATGTTGGGGTTAACTATGGGCAGCGGTTTGGGGGACTTGGGGGAAGGAGCGAACCCGTGTTTGGGGGATTCATTAGAGGAAAATTTTAATAAAAAATGTTCACTTAATATTAATAAAATAAGAAACGTATTTTTAATCAATTTTCTAAAAAAATA